CGGTGTTGAGTAAATGACGTCACAGCGTAAAACTGCTGTACATAATGACTCGTTGGCCGTGACACAAAGAAATTAATGGCGGACGAAAATAAATCGTAAAATTTTGGCCCTTCCATTTCGAATATTAGAAAGATATTTCAGTGAGAGGTTCTTAATGTGTTCAAGATTATTTTAGCAAAGTTCCAGCTCGAATGAAAGAGTTTTAATTTTGGAACGATTTTCGTCCAAGTGGCCCTTTAAACTTTCGTCTTTTATATGTTAGTGAAACCTCTTGCAATTTTTGATTGGAAAAGCCAAAACTTTGAGACAAATTGAAATCATGACTTTGTCAAGACCGGAAATGTCCCGTCGCTTGCAATAACGTTGAGTCCAAATGCTCCTTTGTCCTTGTAAAAAGATCCTACATTGCGATCGTCCAGAACACCGGATAATTTGACAAGTGATGACAAAATGGAAGGCTCAAGATGTTTTGGCCAACACCACCGTGGCTCCCTGCAGCTTCCGGCTCCAAACAAGAAATGCATTTTTCTCGAATTTTTTTTGCTGCTAAAACCTCAACTTCAAAAAGCTAAAAGTCCCTCGGATTTCATTCGATTTTTCTAAGATTTGGAGAGTTTAAAAAGCAACTCATGATCCAAAAAAGGGTGTCTCCGATTTTTGAAATTTAGTTTCTTTCCAAACTTATAACACTTTTTACTCTAAACAACACTCCAAAAGCAATCGCACAACTTTGATCAAAAATAGCGAGAGATATAAAACAGATATCAAAAATCTGGGACACTCTTTTTGAGCATATTATCTCCTGAGTATGTTAAGACATTTTTCGCAAACATAGCTTAAAATGTACGTATCCGTTAACGTTTTCACTGAGGCATGGTCAAATTTCGCTTCGAGGACAGTAATGTGAACAACAATTTAAGAAATCGTATTTTGAAGATGTCTTCATAAACTATGTTTACTTAGCTTTCAGAAAATGTATACTTTGTTTGTGTTATACTATAAAGCCAGCGCGTTATTTAAGTTTACGCGCATAGTGGTCGTAAACGTATCCTAATACCTTAAGTTTTTGGCATTAGGCATGTGCAGACGAACTCTTAACTTACCGCATGAACAAGAGCAAGTTTTCCTTGACAATTTTTTTTGATAATGATAATAATAATAATAATAATAATAATAATAATAATAATAATAATGAAAACTTTGAAACAAACGCATGATGACAAAGAGGTATCATTTATAAGTAGCTT